GCAAGTGGAAAGAGGCGCGACCGGGCCCCGGTTGACTTATCCGTCGGCTCAATCATCGTCGGTCCCAAGGCTGGACACGGGAGTTACGATGGGACGACGCGGTGGTCGAAGAAACAGGTGAGAAGCGAGCAAACTTACCTGGCTAAAGTACGGTGGCAGGACGCAGCGTTGATCGTCGAGGCGCGAGCTCTGCACCCGTTCCAGCAGCTCGAATAGATCCTGCGTCGGGCCCTGTAACGATCAAGGAAGATCAGATCTTTTGCATTTTATAATGAGGATCGGTGTGGGTGTAATGGGATGGGGTAGTGGGATGGGGACAAAGGTGGACTCGAGCGAGTCGATAACGCGAAAATGACGTGAAAATTCTGGGCATTTGCGTCTCCCCGTCATTCCATGGGACAATATCCACTGGGTAGCCCAGCACTAAGTTACTTAATTTAGAGGACAGCAGCGGACATTGACTGGAATTTAATAAGATTTCACGTCACATCTTTGCTGCTCGACTTTTATAATTTGATATTCAAAGCTTTTCTAGTTACCCCAAGCCCACGTATCTCTGTTGTTGTTGTTGTTGTTGTTATTATCATTATTATCATTATTATCATTATTATCATTATTATCATTATTATCATTATTATCATTATTATCATTATTATCATTATTATCATTATTATCATTATTATCATTATTATCATTATCATTATCATTATTATTATTATTATTATTATTATTATTATTGTTATCATTATCATTATTATTATTACGGACAAAAATGATATTATGCTTTTTCCTTTAAATTTTTAATATATTTTATGCAAAAGGGCAATATCTTTTTCATGGATACAAAAGCTGGACTTTTATTCGTAAGTATTCGTTCCGAAATATCTTGGCTCGGCTTAGCGACCGATAAACTTGATTTTTGTTTTTTATTTTTCTTTTTTATTTTTGCTTTTTAAACAGCAACGCTAATTACAGAAATACATGGTATCATTTCTTATTTAAACGAGCGTATTATGCGAACTTTAAGAGCGACAGTTTTTACTCGTGTTCCATCCTTCTTTCCTACCAGCGTGCTTACAAACCGAATTGCACTATTGCGAAATACTTTATCGAACGACTAGACTCTCGTTTAATTCACCAAGACAAAATTTACAATATCTAAACAATCTGTTGGTAATAAAGAATTAAATCGTGTATAAAAGATGGCGGGCTCTTGTAGTAAAACCATACCGAATCGGCTCTCTCGAAACGTTTCCGTAAACTCTGTTGCCCATAATATCGCAATATCGTAAATAAGAAACGTCGCGCAACAATTTCCAAAGTAAGGCCATGAAAAAAAGTTGGGTGAGTTGCGCGAGCGAAAGTTCGATATCCCATAATTCCAGCTTTCATGTCGATCCATAAACCCGAGTCGGCAAATCATCGCCACTCTCTCGTGTCTCTCTCTCTCTCTCTCTCTCTCTCTCTCTCACACACACACACACACACACACACACGCACGCGCACACACTCACTCACTCACTCACCTTGAGTTTGTCCGTGCTCCTGGCATCCTGATGATTCTCGCCAGGGCTCCTGCGCGCAGAGTCCGTTTCACAGTAGACCGACTGCTCGAGTTGCTGCCTCCTGCAATCCAAACAAAGGAGGCGTTGAGCGAAAAAGGGAGATTATTATCGATGCAATAGTACGCGAATTTACGCTTAATTTGAGAATGTGGGGTATGGATTGTGCACGCGCCGATAAATGCGATGCCGGGGATCGGGGTTACAGGGATTGAGTTAAGTTAGCAGTTAGCGCACGAGTGGTGGTGATGAGCGTCGCTCACGTTAATAATAAAGTGTGTGCTAGTGTGGTAATGGGGATAGTTATGGCTCCTGTAATAATAACATTCTTAATGTTTGGTAATGGTTGTACCGTTGGTTGGTTGGTAGCATCGATGAGTGGGAAACGATGGGCTTGGGCTTAACGCAAAGTGAGTCGATTAATTTCTACGACGGTCTTTGGTTGTCTCGTTTCCTTTCCTTTCCTTTCGTTTCTTCATTCGTTCGTTCGTTCGTTCGTTCGTTCGTTCGTTTGTTGATTTTTTGGCTTGTTTTTTGTTTTGTTTTGTTTGTATTATTAAAGCAAGTCACGACTACCGAATGGACAAATTGCGCATTACTGTTTGAATATTTAAATGAAGCGGATGACGGGTGAACGTAGTTGCTACAATAATGGGGTCGCGCTTATTAGTTCAAGTAAGTTGAGGATAATACTCGACCGAGACGGAGCTTACATTACATCGTCTGGCCGTTGTTCCTATCAAAGATTTAGTGATGCTCGTGCGTTGAAAGGCATTCGTTAAACCGACGAGGGAAAAACAATATTTTTATAATAACGAGCGACAGTTGTTCGACGAACGCACTTGGAAATAAATGTCGTAAGCTCGTTTAGGAACACTTAATAGTCCTCGTGTTTTTGGTCGCCTTTCCTCGAAAGTAATACGGCCATTTAAATATAGCGATCTCGGACACTCCCGTAAATTACTGGTAAAAAGTCATCACCCGCCCCCGTCCCATACCCATCCGATCCCATCATTCATGCCCACTATGAAAGCGCCATTGGCATGTATCGTTCGCAATGAGCGTTCGTTTCTCGAAATTCAGTTTAAACTCAACGGCCGCCCTTCTTACTTCCCCGAGTGCTTGCTATATATTTCTCAAAACGCGTAAAGGGCCGCGCGAGCAGACTTTAAAAGCCAACACCCAAGCTCCCAACTGCTGCCGAGGAAGGCGATTAAGAAGCAGCCGGAGATTATCATCTTTTCGGAAAAGCCCGCGCGATTAGTTGAAGCCGCCGCCGTCGCCGCCGCCGCCGCCGCTGCCGTCCATAGCGTTTGTTAATCGATCGGGAGGATCCGCTCCCCCCGCTTTTCTATCTCTTTTACCCCACCCGTTTTACATGCTGGGGGTGCGAAGACGAACGGAGAGGCCCGAGCGGTTGGCAGATGTCTTGGAGGGGTACGTGCGGGACCGTGAAAGGAGCGAGCGGCCGGAGGATTTCCCTGGGGCACCCGATTCCGGTCGCACGCGCGACACAATGCCGAAAATTTGTAATAATACGACGACCGAGCCCCACGCTTACCATCCCTCCTCCTCCGTCTCCTCCTCCTCATCCTCTTCCTTTTCTCTCGTACCCGCATTATCTTTTCGCAAGAGTCGGCTCGATCCGCTTGCGGCTCTAGTTGTTTTTTTTTTCACGAGAAACGACACGGGCAACTCGTCTCCCCCCCCCCACCCCTCACCACCGTGACTCGTGCTTTCGCAATAAAATCAATATTGCCATGGATTCCTCAAGGCGGAGGTTTCGGGAGAAATTGTGACTTTCGTGGATGAGGATCGGATAAATCGAATAGGTCTGGTTGCGTTACGGAGCGGCGGCAACCATATCGGCGGCGGGACGATTCAATCAAAATTTCGAGATCCTTGGGAAGCTGTCGAATGGGACTGCAAGTCCCAGTGATCGGGGGGGGGGGAATTAAGAGGCAAGTGCTAAGGAGGGCAGGTGCGAGTCTAAAGACAACGAAGAGCGACGATCCAGCGTCACTTTGAGTAAATTCGATTCAAATGTCCAACCTCTCGGTATTATCGCGACGGTGACGCTCCTATCCCCCGGGATCCTACCTGCAAGCTTCGCTGTGTATATTGGAATTCGGCGTTAATTACGTTAAAAAGTCCTGGGGAGAAGGAACGGGGTGAATCGACGACACTTTTCATCATCGATTCTATCATTTTCTTTTATTAAATTGGCTGCTGTCGTGCCACGGAACTTTAAGACGGACAAACATTTGGAAATTTTTCATCGCACTTACTTGGAAAGTGGCTGCTTTACTTTGCATTGCCTTAATTATATTCTATGCCACGTGATTCGACACGTTTCTTCACAAATTTTGATCAAAGGTCAACAATAACAATTAAACAGCTTGAAAGAGATGGCTGTTTAAAAAAAGAAACGCGCAAGCCGTCGTGTGAGGCATACCACGTTGCTATTCCATGTCGTTTAAGAATTTTATTAGATTTTTTGCACTTGCTTTATACCATATACGTATACATAAATCATATACGTGTTACATCGGCAAATGTGCAAAAAGCTTATTAAGTGTGGCAATGTGAGGAGAGAGGTGAGCTAGAGATGATTAATGCTTTAATTGCGGTTTGCCGAATGCGTTAGTCGTAAGAATGGTGATTCATCAAAATTATAAATTACAAATTTCTACTAAATTCTTCTAAATTGCCGTTCACCCGATGATAAAAAAAAAAAAAAAAAAGCTCGAGGAGAAAGGGAATTTAAGGCGCGGAGTAATAATTCTAGGAGGCCACTTCTTTACTTTACTACCGCGTCAAACTCCAAACTCCAAGACTGAAAATTTAAGGCTACTCTCGACACTAAATTCGAATCATCTTAAAAAGAAATTCGAAGCATCGTTGCGAATCGCAACGTCGAGTGAAAGAATATTTCACGCAACAAGCTCGTAGCATATTTTATTTATAACTCGGCCGCACAACGCCGCCGCCGCCGCTAACTGCTTTACACTCACGTGACGCAATTCATATTCAGGCGCATTTATTTCGGTAAAAATACTTTGGAGACAAACGACAGGACAAATGCATCGACCGCGATAGTCACAAATAGTTATAAACTTTCTATATAATTTGTCAAATGTTGATGAGACGAAATTACGACCGAGGGTAGAAAACGCCGTGGAGTCCCGAATCCGACAAAGCCTCGACAAATGCGATTATGATCGTCGGTCCCGGGGCCTCGACTACTCGGCCGAAGGAGCCCCCTTAGCCCCAAGGAGCTGCCTCCCGGAAACGGATTTTCCCTCGCACTGAGCGGCGACAACCAATTAAACGAGTTAATTCAAGGGACCCGAGCGACGGGAGGTCCGTGAGTAGCCATGGCGCGGCGCGGTGCAGTGCGGCTCGACGTGTCCGGGTGGGATCAGGAGGGGGGAGGTGACGGTGTGGAGCGAACGAGAATCAGAGAGTAGCAGGCGAACGGGGAACAGATGGCCCGAGCGATTCCTCTCGCGGAAAATCGCCTCGGGACAATGAGCGGGGAAAGGCGCGCTCTTAAGGCTATTGTCCTAGCATCGCAACGCGACGCCCCAAGTGATAGCGAGTCCACCCGGGCTCCCCAACCTGTTCCCCCGGCTAAGAACTTCTGCACACGCCGATATTAATTTTTGCAGTTGCGCGGGCAGTCGCGCAGATGTTTAATGGGCACTCGCGGGCTATTCGAGCCTCGCCCTTATCGCGCATTATCTTTCCCAACTTGAGCGCGGACCGTCGAAATCGACGTAGGATCCACGGACGCTAGGATTAGCTCTGGGTAAACAGGCCAGGCATCCGGTTACTTCTCGGTATGCTATCGATTGACGGGCCGCGCTATTATTCATCCGGACGCTCGGATCGCTGATTCGCCAAGCGAGACCCTCGCACTTCTGACCCAAGTGATTCGACTATAAACGATTGCCGATTTACATTAATCCCGATGCTGCAGCAGGGCATCCCTATCTTCTTCCGTAAAGGGAAATCATAATTTGGGCGTGATTTATTAACACCCGTTATCATAATAACGCTTGATTTATCTTAAATCGTGTAGCTGCACGAGGCAGGGGAATGGAGCAAAGTGGGACGACGAGTGGCAAGCCAAAGCTCTCGTCTCTATCGGTCACTTCCTTCCTTCCTTACTTCCTTTCTTCTCCCCTTCCTTCCTTCCTTCCTTCCTTCCTTCCTTCCTTCCTTCCTTCCTTCCTTCCTTCCTTCCTTCCTTCCTTCCTTCCTTCCTTCCTTCCTTCCTTCCTTCCTTCCTTCCTTCCTTCCTTCCTTCCTTCCTTCCTTCCTTCCTTCCTTCCTTCCTTCCTTCCTTCCTTCCTTCCTTCCTTCCTTCCTTCCTTCCTTCCTTCCTTCCTTCCTGCCTTCCTTCCTTCATTCCTTCCTATACCGCTTCGATTTTCCTTTTTCGGCATTTGCGAGAGACGATGGACGGATTTGATCGAGGTGGCGTAGCGGCAATACAAAATGAATATGTGACCGCTGGAATTCCATTTGACTCTCGCTTGTTCAGCTTTAAACATTTACGTAATCCGGCTTACGAAAATGATTGTCCGACGCTCGACATTGCGCACGTCCAGTAGAGATCGATGCACGGCAAATATGCTCCCTATATTTACACGGGCGTTTGTCGCATTTTTAAATATATGCATTTATCGTGGAGTAAGTAGTTACTGATTCGACACAAACAGCCGGATAAGCCGCAGATTTTTTTTACAATAATTCCTCAGGATTTATAGGATTTTTCTAATGTCGAGGAATGCCAAATGATCCCGAATGGGATGTATAAGCGCTCCTTTCAAGCTCACTCTCTTAATTAATATTTCCGAAGTATAAATTGTAGATTCACGGAGCATACCGTAATTACGACTTTAGCTTTAATTAGTACGGAATTCATAATAATGTATCCTTGAAAATAAAAAGAAAAAGAAAGAAAAAAATACCTAGAGTATAACGCAAGGATAAAATATTTTCTTTCTCTTTCAACGGAAATGCCGAGCAGTTGAATGGGAGGGTATCCTTGATAAC